CTGTAGTTTCCTGGGTTGTTCTTATTTCCCTTTTTATAAATGGGCACTATATTTCCCCCTTTCCAGTCTTCTTGAATCTCTCCTGTCTCCCATGATTTTCCAAAGATGATAACTAGAGGCTCAGATACTTCCTGTATCAGCTCCTTGAATATTCTAGGATGCATTTCATCAGGCCCTGGTGACTTGCAGGCATCTAACTTTTCTAGGTGATTTTTAATTTGTTCTTTTTTTATTTTATCTTCTAAACCTACCCTCTTCCCACTACCATTCACTATGTTAGTCCTTCCTTCAGGCTTCTTGGTGAAGACCGAAACAAAGAAGTCATTAAGCATCTGTGCCATTTCCAAATTTCCTGTTACTGTTTCTCCCTCCTCACTGACAAGTGGGCCTACCCTGTCCTTGGTCTTCCTCTTGCTTCTAATGTATTTATAAAGTCTTCTTGTTTCCCTTTATTCCCGTAGCTAGTTTGAGCTCATTTTGTACTTTTGCCTTTCTAATCTTGCCCGTGCCTATGTTGTTTGCCTATATTCATCCTTTGTAATTTGTCCTACTTTCCATTTTTTATATGACTCCTTTTTTTTGTTTTTATATCATGCAAGATCTCATGATTAAGCCAAGGCGGTCTTTTGTCATATTTTCTATCTTTCCAACACAGATGAATAGCTTGCTTTTGGGTCCTTAACAATGTCCCTTTGAAAAACTGCCAACTCTCCTCAGTTGTTTTTCCCCTCAGTCTTGATTCCCATGGGACCTTACCTATCAGCTCTCTGAACTTACCAAAATCCATCTTTCTGAAATCCATTGTCTCTATTTTGCTGTTCTCCCTTCTACCCTTCCTTAGAATTGTGAACTCTATGATTTCATGATCATTTTCACTTAAGCTGCCTTCCACTTTCAAATTCTCAACCAGTTCCTCCCTATTTGTTAGGATCAAATCTAGAACAGCTTCCCCCCCAGTAGCTTTTTCAACCTTCTGAAATAAAAAGTTGTCTCCAATGCAGTCCAAGAACTTATTGGAAAGTCTGTGCCCCGCTGTGTTATTTTCCCAACATATATCTGGATAGCTGAAGTCCCCCATCACCACCAAATCTTGGGCTTTGGATGATATTGTTAGTTGTTTAAAAAAAGCCTCTTTCACTTCTTCCACCTGGGTAAGTGGCCTGTAGTAGACTCCTAGCATGACATCACCCTTGTTTTTAACCCATTTTAGCCTGACCCAGAGACTCTCAACACTTGCGTCTCCTATGTCCATCTCCACCTCACTTCAAGTGTGTTCATTTTTAATATATAAGGCAACACCTCCTCCCTTTTTTCCCTGTCTACACTTCCTGAGCAACTTGTACCCTTCTATACAAACATTCCAATCATGTGTATTATCCCACCAAGTTTCTGTGATGCCAACAATGTCACAATTGTACTTATTTATTAGCACTTCCAGTTCTTCCTGCTTATTACCCATACTTCTTGCATTTGTATATAGGCATCTAAGATTCTGATTTGACCTTGTCTCCCAGTTTTGCCCTGACCCTCCATTCTCTCTGCCATTATAGCCCATGCACTCTCCCATTTCCAACCCATCTCCCAGGTCTCCATGTTCTCCACTTACCTATGGGCTTTGCTCACCTGTCCCTGAAAGTGATTGGGCAATAAAATGGCAAATAAAATGTAATGTTCAGAAATTTAAAGTAATGCAGATTGGAAAAAATAATCCCAGCTATACATACAATATAATGGGGACTAATTTAGCTACAACTACTCAAGAGAGAGATCTTGGAGTCATTGGATATAGTTCACTAAAAATATCCCACTCAGTGTGCAGCAGTAGTCAAAAAAGCATATACAATGTTAGGAATCATTAAAAAAGGGATAGGGAATAAGACAGAGAATATCTTATTGCCTCTATATAAAACCATGGTACGCCCACATCTAGAATACTGCATATGGAGATGGTTGCCTCATCTCAGAAAAGACACTGGCATTGGAAAAAGTTCAGAAAAGGGCAACAAAAATTATTAGGGTTTTGGAATGAGTCTCGTATGAAGAGAGATTAAAAAGACTTGGATTTTTCATCTTAGAAAAGAGTAGACAAAGGGGGGGTATGGTAGAGGTCTATGAAATGACTGGTGTAGAAAAAGAGAACGAGAAGTTATTTACCCTTTCCCACAGTATAAGAACTGGAGGTCATCAAATGAAATTAATAGGCAGGAGGTTTTAAACAAACAAAATACAGGTTTTCTTCTCTCAGAGCACAGTCAACTTGTGGAACTCCTTGCCAGAGGATGTGGTGAAGACTAGGACTTTAACAGGGTTCAAAAAAGAACTAAATAGATTCATGGAGGTTAGGTCCATCAATTGCTATTAGCCAGGATGGGTAGGAATGGCATCCCTAACCTCTGTTTGTCTGGAAATGGGTGACAGGAGAGGGATCATGTGAGGATTACCTGTTGTGTTCCCTCCTTCTGGGGCCACTGTCGGCAGACAGGATACTAGGCTAGATGGACCTTTGGTCTGACCAAGTATATCCATTCTTATGACCAATTCATAATTGTCTGTTTAGCTTGTCATCTTCATAGTAGGGATGTTAAAATGAGGGTGTTTTTTTCAGTGGTTACAAGATTACATGTGGGGGAAGGAGGAAGCGGCTCTGCAGGAGCTACTGCAAGCAGGGAGCCAGCTTTCCTGTGCCAGGGGGTGCGCAGGTAGCTCTGCAGGAGCTGGTGTTTGTGGGGAGCCAGTGATTGCAAGCACCGGCTCTTGCCTACCCCATGCTGCTACTTCTGTATCAGCAGTATGTAGGAAAGGCAGCAGTACGGAGGAGATGGAAAGGCTTGCATGTAACCGTGAAGGTTAACCGATGAGCCCAGACTCATCAGTTTACTGTTTAACTATATATACTATCACATCCCTACTTCATAGTGTCACTATCTGCAGCACAAAGCATCATAAATCTGTTTCAAGTTAACAGAATTTGGTAAATATCAAATAACTATTTTGGATATATATATAAACAAGATACAGAACATAAGTGAATTTTTTTTTATCACTGGTATGTGATGATGACTTTGGCCCCAGTTCTACAAACACTTATGAACATGCATAATTTTAAACACATAACTAGTCCCATTGAAGTTAGCGGGACTATTTAAGTATTTAAAGTTAAGCTGTATATCAGCGTTTCTCAAACTGTGGGTCATGACCCTCCTCACTCACTGGAGAGATTTAAGAGCAGTTTGGACAGATGTCTATCAGGGATGATCTAGACAATACTTGGTCCTGCCATGAGGTTACCATTATTTCACTGGGAGTTTTACATGCACACTCCAGAGCAGACTTTAGTTCTTACAGTTAACATCAATAGTACATAAAGTAGCAGAAGAAATGCAGTTATCTGCTCTGATTTAGATGCTCCTATAGTCATTGTTTGTGGGAGCAGAAACTCAATGTTAAACTTGAATTTTGACAGGTTAAAAACGTACATTTATGTATTTTAATGCAAATCTGTATATGTACACTATTAATATTTTTGGATTTAGTTATTTAAACCATCATTTTCTTTTACATGCACAACTGTGGCATTTGCATGTCCATAACTGAAAATCAGGGCCAGGCATGGTAATATGGTTAGAATTGTACCTTGAAATAATCGCCAGACACAGCATCATGTATTGGCAAAGTCCCATCCAGACTTTTGCTATTAACATCAGCACCAGCTTTTAATAACTCTACGATCACCTCAGTAAATCCCCGGTTGGAAGCTTCATGAATTGCTGTCCAGCCTAGAGAAACCAAATCAAAATTTAGATTGTCATTCTGATGTCTAAAAACCCACACAGGGCATAAATTGATAATTATAAACTCTTTTGTATAAAAAGTGACTATGTCAGACTTCTGGTCGGAGACTGGTAACTGACAGATTTCTTTGTTTTTCTGAAACAATACTGGCTAAAGGAATGTATTATTTGCTTTTCAGTCATGCTATCAGAAGTAATAGCAGCAAAGAAGTTATAGATTAGAAATGTCAGAAATCAAAAACATAAATACTGATAATCACATTTCTAGACGTGTTGGCATCATATGGTATCACACTTTAAATTGATCAGGGATCCAGAATGGAATGCTGGCCATCCTGAGATGAAGGCCTGTGTAATTTAGGAGGAAATTTTATATTTAGGGGGGAAAGGAGGAAACTCCTACCTTACAGTTTACTTTAAAAAAAACCCTGAATTGTCTTAAGTGGCTCTCCTGCATTTACATATGTAGATAACTTTACTTGTGAGCAATGTCACTTCATTCACAAACCAAGTGGGCAAAGTGAAAGTGAGATACAGTACATGACAAATGCAGTGAGTCTACAATTTATAACATACTTGAGCAATTTATTATATGGATGTCACTACAGGATGTGATGTGTATGGATATGAAGCCACACACACATTCATATAAGTACGTAAATACAGTGTGTCCTTGTTGCCAGGAAAGCTAATGGTATATGGGGTGCTTTAGTAGGAGCATTGCCAGCAGACTCAGGGAAGAGCCCTCTATTCGGCACTAGTGATGCCAAGTCTGGAGTACTGCATCCAGTTTTAGACCTCTCACTGAAGAAAGGATGTGGACAAATTGGAGAGAGTACAGCAGAAGGCAACAAACATGGATAAAGTGCATTACTAATGAGCAGAGGCTAAGGGAACTGGGCTTATTTAGTCTTCAGAAGAAAAGAATGAAGTGGGACTTGATAGCAACATTCAACTACCTGAAGGGGATTCCAAAGAGAATGGAATCAGGCTATTCTCAGTGGTGGTAGATGACAGAAGAAGAAGAAATGGTCTCAAATTGCAATGGGGGAGATCTAAGTTGGATATTAGGAAAAAAAACCTATTTCACTAGGAGGGTGGTGAAGCACTGGAATGGGTTGCTTAGGGAGGTGGTGGAAACTCCACCCTTAACGGTTTTTAAGGCGAGGCTTGACAAAGCCCAGGCTGGAATAATTTAGTTGGGGCTGGCCCTGTTTTGAGAAGAAGGGTTGGACTAGATGACCCCCTAAGGTCTTCTCCAACCCTAATCTTCTATGATTCTATAATCTATATAACATTGTCTTATGTGCTGGTCAATACCCTGCACAATAGTGAAAAAATATTCATATGTATCAAAGATTGCAAATACAAATTAAAAGATAGCAATGGCTTAATAAAGTAATCCTTGCTACTTCCTTGTTCAATAAAATAGGTACCAATAATGAAGAGAAGTTAATTTCTGAAATATCTTCATTCCAATCTCTCAAGGAGTTTTATTAGGAAAGATGTGTCTCTTAATTGCCACGAAACTGAATAACTAGGGCAGTGTTTCTTAAACTGTGTTCCGTGGCACACCGGTGTGCTGTGAGGTAGCTGGAGGCGAGCCACAGAGAACAAAATTCAAAATGGCCACCCTTAAAGGGACAGGCGACCCCTCCCTTTTTTTTTCTCTCTGCTTAATAACTTTCCCCCCGACATTTTTTTTTTTTTTGGCTCAACAAAAAAATCCTTAGTGTTCCTCATAAAAAAAATTATTGTTTGGTGTTCCTTGGTCTTAAAAAGTTTAAGAAACACTGAACGAGAGTATGACCAAAGAAGGAATTTTAAAACATTCAAACCTGCATGATCCTTTAGATTCACACATACTCCAGATGCTATTAGAGTTTTCACTAATGATAAATCTCCTTTCTTGGCAGCCAGGTGCAAGCGACTTTCCCCTTTGACATTTCTCTTTTTTATCCCAGCTCTTGTAATATGGGTAGGCTGAGTAGGTGCAGTTATTATCTCTTTTTTGCTAGATAGTAAAGAGTCTAAAGACATATTGAACATCAAAATTTCTCATTAGAAAACCAGGCCAAGCTTCTGTTTCACTTCAAATAGTTCTATGCAGCTCCACTGTCTTAATTATTAATTGTTATTATTACTTAGGAAAAAATAAGACCGAGTACATATGGAACGTGTCCCAAAGAGTTTACAATCTACTATCAGACAATTTGCAATAAAGGCACAACAGGGTTAAGATGGAAGAAGGAAATTACATAGTTATCCAGCACAACTACATAGTATAGCAACAGGAAGGTTGGCACATTTATTCCCAAATTCCTCCTCAGTTCTCTGGACTGATTTCAGGAGATATTACTGCTTGCCTGGACTTCATCTCCTTTAGACAGAAATGGGAGGGAAGCTGCATAGGGTCACGTACTGAGAGGTGCGCTGACAGTTTTCCTAATAACACAGTGTCATAGTCTATACTGTTATGTTCACCACTTTTACATGACTATGATACATTTTGTAACAAAGTATGCCTTGTGAAGTATAATTGAAAACTCATAATTTGCTGAACACTGTCCTGATAAGTGCAGGTTAGAGTACACTGTAAATGTACGTTTAGAATAATTTCTGTACTTCAGTGAAGTTACCCTAGATTTACACTGATGTTACTGAAACAAAATCAGATACATTGTCTTTATGAACTACCTATAATATGCTGTATAATAGCAGTGTGAAACACATATTTCACTTTGTGCAAATTATATTATACACCTTTCATACTATGTATAATGATGGAGAAAACGCAATTTGAAAACGCATTTGAAAAGGATTTGAAAAAGGAGTTTACTTACCTTCCTGTAACTGACGTTCTTCAAGTTGAGCGTCCCTGAGGGTGCTCCACATTAGGTGTTGAGCATCCCGTTTCTTGACAGATTATTCTTAGCAGTGCATTGAGGGCTGCACATGTGTGGCGCGCACGAGCCTCTCTCGGTGCCATCGCTCATGCACAGCCCCCCCCCCCTTCAGTTCCTTTTCTATCCAGAACCTGGCAAATAATGTGTTATAGATGTTATCATAAGGGCATTCTGAAGTAGAGGGGAGGAAGGGAGAGTAGTGGAGCACCCCCAGGGACACTCATCTCAAAGAACGTCAGTTACAGGAAGGTGAGTAACCTCCTTTTCTTCTTTGAGAGGCGTCCCTGGGGGCACTATTTTCCTATGGAGGTAGGTATTTTGGATCAGGTAAGTACAGGGGAGGCCCGTGAGCCTAGGTGAACTAGGCAGTTGCCTAGAGTGCCTCTGGCCTGGGCGCCTGATGATGACATCACAGGGTGCAGTGGCGCCCCATGATGATGTCATGGCCATTGATGGCCAGGCAGGCGGGGGTGCCTATCGTGCCACCCCCCTGGGGCGCCAGCTGTCGCAGCCCGCCTTGGGCCGCTCCCGGGTAAGTATGCCATTTGTAATTCAGCTTTTGCTAGTTTAGTATGATGGAGGGGTCCTGAAGTGAGTGCATAATGTTTTGCAAAAGAGCTTTTTGAAGACCATGTAGCCACTGCACATATGTTATGCAGTAGAATTTTTTCTCAGGTAAGAGATGGATGTGGCAACCACTCTTTTAGAGTTTGCTCGGATTGGAATTGGCAAAGGTAAGTCGTTCAGCAAATAGCAAGTAACGATGCATTCTGTGACCCAATGTGACAATTTCTGTGATAAAATTTGTTTTCCCTTACTATGATGTGCAATGGAGATGAAAAGTTGAGAAGAAGATCTAAAAGTTTTGGTTCTGTCGAGGTAGAAAGAGAGAGCCCTTCTGACATCTAGGGTGTGCATCTGAGCTTCAAATGCGTTGGCATGGGGTTTTGGAAAAAATACTGGTAAGTGTATTGTCTGATACTGGTGGAAAGGGGAGCGCACCTTAGGTTAGAATTTTGGATACAGTAGCATTGTGACCTTATCCTTTAAAAAGATCATGAAGGGTGGTTCCGCCATCAGGGCCGCCATCTCGCTCACTCTGCGGGCTGAGGTTATTGCTACTAGGAATTCCATCTTTAAAGATAAATGGCGTAGGGAGCATGTCGCCATAGGTTCAAATGGCGGTTCTGTGAGAGTTGTTAATACCAAGTGTAAGTCCCATGGTTCTTGAGGGGATGCCACCTCTGGGTAGAGAGCCTGCAGGCCTTTCAGAAATCGGGTGTGCGAAGACTATGGTGTCTTCCACTGGTGCGTGGAAGGTTGTAATGGCTGCTAGGTGGACCCTGAGGGAGAGATGTGACTGTCTGAGGTGTAACAGGTATTCCAAGATCACAGGGAGTGGAGCGTCATGCGGCCGTATGTTACAAAAGATCGCCCACTGAACGAATCAAGTCCATTTGCTCACGTATGTTTTCCTTGTTGCGGGCACCCTGCTTTGTAATAGGATGTCATGGACTTGTTGGGAGCACTGCAGCTCTATGCCCGTGAACCATCCAGGTACCACGCCTTGAGATGAGTGTCCAAAACTGAGGGTGACGATATGTAATCCTTGGTTGATGCAGACTGTTGGGATTATTTGGAAGTGTGATTGGTTGATGCCGTGCCAGCCTGTGTAGGAGGGGAAACCATGGTTGTCGAGGCCAGCAGGGTGCAATGAGGATAATTTTTGCTTTGAGTTTTTATAAGGACTCTGTTGAGGAGAGGAAACGAGGGAAAGGCGTAAAGCAGGGGTGCATTCCAAGTTATAATAAGAGCATCCCCAAGGGACTGTTTCCCCATGCCTACCCTGGAGCAACAGCGTGGGCATTTTTTGTTGGTTGTGGTGGCAAGTAAATCTATATCTGGGAAACCCCATTGATTGAATATGTCGCTGAGGAGTACATAGTCGAGTACCCATTCGTGTTCTTGTGGCAGCGCTCTGCTGAGGGCATCTGCTGTTGAATTGAGGACCCCAAGGAGGTGACAAGCAGATATGCGAATGTCTTAGGCTAGACACCAATTCCAAAGTGCTATGGTTTCCGAGCATAGGGTGTGTGATCAAGTGCCGCCTTGCCTATTCATATAAAACATGCATGCGGTGTTGTCTGTATATATTTTTACATGGATCCCTGTGACTTTGGGCAGCAATTCTTGGCATTCCAGGTGAACTGCCCTGAGTTCGAGGGTGTTGATGTGGAGCACACGGTCTGCTAGGGACCACAGACCATGTTATGTACGGCCTTCTGTACGAGCACCCCATCCTGGAAGGGTTGCATCTGTAGTGATAACTACAGAGGGATCTTAGGGTTTGAAAAGGGATGCCTACGCATAGGTTGGATGAATCTGTCAGTAGGCAAAGAGGCTCTGGCTGTGATCCTATTGAGCTGTGCTCCAATGAATTGGATTATTTGGGTTGGCGTGAGTGTTGATTTGCCGTAATTTATTAGGAATCCTAATGAATGAAGGCAGTTTAACACAATGATGGTATATTGATAGCAGTCTTGATTGGTCCTTGCCTTGACAAGGCAATCGTCTAAGTACGTGTAGATTGTGATTCCACATTTTCTGAGATGAGCGACGACAACCGCTAGCACCTTCGTAAATACCCTGGGTGCACTGCAGAGACCGAAAGGATGTATCGTGTATTGGTAGTGTTGGAGACCTAGAGTCAGGTCGAGAGAAGAAAACCAGTCACTAGACTCCAGAGCTGGGATAATGATATTTAGGGTGACATTTTGAATTTCTGTTTCCTTATGAATTTATTTAGTAACCAAAGATCAAGGATCGGTCTCCAGTCACCTGTTTTCTTTTCTACAAGAAAATAATGTGAGTAAAAACCAGTTCCATGGAACTCCTTAAGCACTGGTTCTATGGCTCCTAGTTGGAGCAGGTGGTCCACCTCTTATTGTAGTATGATTTCATGAAAGGGGTCCCTAAAGAGGGATGGAGTGGGTGGTTGAGGAAGAGGGGAGAGAGAAAGGGGATGGTGTAACCTAGAGAGATAGTTTGAATTACCCATTTATCAAAGGTAATAGCTACCCAATTTGATAGGAATGGTGATAAACAAAAACGGAAAGGTTTGGAACTGATCTCAAGCTCTGGTGCATATGGTGTCATTTTACATTTCTCGACTGTTGTTTCAAATGTGCTTGTTGGATTGGGATGAATGATTAGGGTTATTACTCTGAGGGCGACGTCTATGTTGCCTGTTCTACCCCCTCTGGTGGTATGGAGCATGGTCTTGCCTCTGATACTGGTAAGTGAATTGTGGGACCCTGCTCTCTGATATGGTTGGTACCTGTATTGTCTTGGTCTTGTCTTAGGTGTTTGGATACCGAGTGACCACAATATGGCTCTGGAATCCTTCATCAACTGGAGCAACTCATTGGTCTTTGCAGAAAACAGCTTTTCCCCATCGAACAGAAGATCGTTTACCAATAGTTGTACTTGGAGGGAAAGGCAGAAGAATTAAACCAAGAGACTCGTCTCATAGTCACAGCTGTTGCCGTAGTCCTGGTAGCTGTATCTGCTGCGTCAAGTGCTTGCGGGGCTATTTGTGATATTATCTGACCTTCTGAGACGAGAGCTTCAAACTGTGCCTTCTTGCTATCAGGGATATCTTCAATAAAAGTATTTAATTTTGTGTAGTTATTAAAGTCATATTTACTGAGTGAGGGTATGTCTACACTACCACCCTAGTTTGAACTAGGGTGGTAATGTAGTCAACCGGAGTTGCAAATGAAGCCCGGGATTTGAATTTCCCGGGCATCATTTGCATGTTGCCGGGCGCCGCAATTTTAAATGTCCACTAGTTCGGACTCCGTGCCCCGCGGCTACACGCGGCACGAACTAGGTAGTTTGGACTAGGCTTCCTATTCCGAACTACCTGTACTCCTCATTCCACGAACTTGTTGTTTGTTTCTTTGCTGCGCAGCATCTACTACAAGGGAATTGGGGGGAGGGTGTGTAAAGAGAAACTGGGAACCCTTGGGGGGAACACAGTATTTTCAAACTGCATTTCTGCATGTTGGTGGGATGGACGCAGGTGTTTTCCACAGGATTTTAGCGGGCTCCAGAATGGCTGG